ACCCCCCACCCCCACCCCCACCCCCACCTTGGGGTTGATGAACCTGTCCACCTTTTCGTCTGAGTCGCAGGTGAGGTCCGCCAGGGTGGCGGGCACGCTGGGCTCCTCGCACAGCCGGTGGATGGGCAGGATGGGGAAGAGCTGGTGGATGGCCCAGCTGTCCACAGCGGAGCGGAAACTGCGGGCGGAGGGGGGAGGGGGAGGGAAAGGGGGTGGGTGGCGTGCGTGCGTGTGGGCCAAGGGGGGTGGTGAGGTGGCCGGTGGGGCGCTCCACTCGGCTGGGCGGCGCTGCGTGGGTGGCAGGCGGCAGGCCAGGGCGGGCCAGACGCCGGCCCAGCCGCAGGCAAGAGCAACCGCCAGCGGGCCCGAGGGCTGGCAATGGCAATGCGGGGGCAGGCCAGCCACTGGGCGGGCAGGGTGGCCAGGGCGGAGGCGGGGCGGCCGCCTCACCGCTCATGTTGACGTGGTACATGCGGGTGTGGGGCACGGCATCGGGGCGCAGCGCATCGGGCAGGGGCAGGTCGTGGGCCAGCGCCACCTGGCGGATGCGCTCGCAGGCGGCGTCAAACATCATGTCCACCTGAGGGGGGGCGGGCAGAGGAGGAGCAGGGCGGGGCGTGGGCCCAGGGGACGGGATGTTGTCGGTCACGAGGGCAGGGCGGGGACCAAGAGGGCCAAGAGGGCCAAGAGCGCGGGAGATGCGAGGGACCGCGAGCGCCGCATTCGCTGGGCCCCGCCGCCCTGCCCTGCCACCACGCCAGCCCCGCCAGGCTCCGCCCCACCTGCGCCCGCTCCTCCAGGGACAGCACCCCCAGCTTGAAGGCGCGCACCGCCTCATCCTTGAAGTAGGAGGCGTCGTTGAAGGCCTCGCGCAGCGCGCTGGCGTCTGCGTGTGTGTGTGTGTGTTGGGGGGGTGGGGACAGGGGCAGGGGCAGGGGTGGTTGGGGCGCAGCGGCGAGCGGCACGCTTGTGAGCGGCCCCGACAAGAGCTGCCTTCCAGTGGCGGCGTGGTACAGCCTGTCGAACGCCGCCCCAGACTGCAAAACCAAAGCCAGATCAACACCCGGCTGCCGGGGGGCGAATGATGTTGCAACACCGCCCACCCCCGACCCCAGGCGCGGCGGCCCCAGCCCCCCACCCACCGGGCGAGATGTTGTCAAACACTTCTTTGAAGGTCATGAGCAAAAAGGTGCCCTTGCCCGACCGCGCCGCCGCGCGCAGCTGCTTGGTCAGCGGCCGGTCGTCCCGGATCTCGATGCTATCCACCACCTCCTCCTGCTCCACGCGCTTCTCCACCACGCACTCGGGGCTGGCGGCGGCGCATGGGGGCGGCGGCGCAGGGGTGTGCAGGGGAGTGAGGGACAGGGCAGGTTGGGAAGGCGGGCGGCGGGGGGCCGCCGGGTGGCAGCCGGGCGGGAGGCGAGGAGCCACCACAGGCCGGCCGATGCAGGAGCGGCGGCGGCAGCAGGCGCAGGGAACCCCCGGCCCGGAACCGTTCGCCAACCGCGCGCCACACACGCCCCTCAATGCGCCGAGTGCCAAACTCACGTGGTGAGCACGTCAAACACCAGCACCGAGTGGTGCGAGGCCAGCGCGCGCCCGCTCTCGGTGATGATGGTGGGGGGCGGGATGCCGCGCTGGATGCACACCTCCTGCACCGCGCTCACCACTGCGGGGAGGGGGCGCGGGCGCGGGCACGGGGGGCACACGTCAGCGGTTGGGCTGGCAAAGGCAGGGGCACCCCACCCCGATCCCACTGCCAGCCAAAGCCTGGCTCCAGTGCCCCACCCACCCACACAAACCTCCACGCTCCTCCGCCACCCTCCCTCCCCTGCCCTCCCCCTCCCTCCCCCCAACCCCTCCCCCCTCCCTGTTGCCCCAGGCACGCCCCAGCCACCCCAGCCACGCCCCACGCCCGCGCACCGTCGTTGGCGTAGTGCTGCAGGGTGTAGGACATGGAGGCGGAGGAGTCGGTGAAGGAGCCGTCGTAGTCGACCGCCAGGCCGCCGCCACAGTCGATGTACCGCATGGATGCGCCCATCTGGAAAGCAGGCGCGTGGGGGGGCAGCTTTGTTTACTAAGTTGTTGAGTAGGATTAGGGAGAAGGGAGGCAGGGAGCAAGGGGCCCAGGGGTGCTAATCAAGGGGCAGGAGAGGGACGGCCCAGCGCCGGCCGCGGCCGCGGGAGCCCTGCTGCCGCTGCGCCGCGCCCCAGCCCAGGCGGCCACGCCCAGGCCTGGCCCCACAGCTGGCCCCCAGCCAGCCCACACCTCACCTGCACCAGCTCTGCGTACAGGAAGGATGCCTCCCGCATCACCTCCTTCACCATGCGGATGTTGGTGATCTGCGGGGGTGGAGGTGTGGGCGCGTATGACATGTAAGGAAACCAAAAGGGGTGGGGTGAGGCGAGGGGAGGGATGAGAGACGGTGGAGGCGAGGGGTGCAGCCAGGGGCGAGCCACGAGATCACAGCTCTCATCCGCGCGCATGCATGTCAATGATGAGGTGCGCCTGCCGCGGGCGGGGAGCGGGACAGCAAGCCCCGGCACCGCCCCCGGCCCCACCTGGGAGCCGACGTGGAAGTGGAGGAGGTGCAGGCAGTCCAGCATGCCCTCATCGCCCAGCTTGTTCACCGCCGCCACAATCTCGCGCGCGCGCAGCCCAAACTGCGGGCAGGACGGGCGCCAAGGCGCGGGGCACAGGCGCGCTGGTTGGGTGCGGGGGCGGCAGTGCGGTGCGCTGCCTGGGCAGCCCTCGCGGCTCCTGCCCCCATCCCTCTGCTCACGCCTCGCCACACCACACATCTACAGCACCCACAATACACACACACACAGCCCACTCCCCGCCCAGCAGCTGCCTACCTTGGCCTTATCGCCGCTGGTGGAGCCCCAGTGGCCGTTGTGGCGGGTGGTCAGCTTGGCCCGGATGCCGATGGAGGGGCGCACGCCTGCAGGCGGCGCAGGGCAGGCAGGTGCCCACTTACCCAGACAGCAGCACCCACAGATGTGCCGCCAGAGCAGCCTGCCCTAGCCCGGCACCAAGGACGGGCAGGTCTGGCTCCACCCCATCCCCAGGCAGGAGCCTAGACCTGCCCCGGCCGCCTGCCCGCTCACCCAGGCGGCGCGCCGTGCCCAGCAGCAGGTCCACCTCGCTGTACTGCTCCATCACCACCATCGCATTCATGCCCAGCTCGCGGCAGTGCAGCACCTGCGGGGGCGGCGTGCGCGGCGGCGGAGGGTGATGCGTGGCGTGCCCAGCCCATGCCGCCGCCGACTGCCCAGAGCCACCCTCCCTCTCCGCAGCCGCCCTCCTTTTAAGAAGGGGGGGCCGTTTATGCACAGCCCACAAGGGGCCCAGGTCCTTCCCTCACATAAAACGAATGTACTCACCAGCTCCATGTACTCGGCATCCTTGTAGCCGTTGCACACCAGGTTGGTGCCCGGCGGCCTCCCCGCCAGCTGGCTCATCACCATCACCAGCTCCGCCTTGCTGCCCACCTCCAGCCCAAAGCTGTGGGGCGCGCCTGCGGGGGCGGGACGGCTGGGGGAGGGTGTGGGCGTGTGAGCGCCGCCGGCTCCATTGCTGAACGCCCCAGCAGGGCGGGCAAGGTGCGCTGATAAGCATGGGGCCGTGTGGCGCGCGCCCGCGCATCCCTTCTTGCGCACCGTACTCCACCACCGCCTGGATCAGCGCCCTGTCGTGGTTTGCCTTCACTGGGAAAACGCCCTGGTACGCGCCCTGGTACTCAAAGCGGTCGATGGCGGCGCGGAACGCGGCCTGCAGCGCAGTCGGCAAGGCGAGGCTCGTCGCATTGCTGGCGCGTGCATCCCCTGTTTGCCGACCCGCAACTTCCGGGCGGCTGCCTCACGTTGAGCTTGTTGATGCGGTGGCCCACGATGGGGAGGAAGCGGTAGAGCAGCGGGGCGCGCAGCCCCTGCGCCTGCGCCGCCTGCGTCAGCTTGAACAGGTCCAGCGCCGGGCCCTCCTCTGCAGGTGGGGCACAGTCTGACCAGATGGAGCGGTGGCAGGGCGCCAGGAGCTGGCCGGCAGACCGCCTTGCGTGTCGACGCGAAAGGCTGGAGGGCGGCGGCGGCGGCACCGCCCTTTGAACTCACCACCCTGGGGCTTCACCAGGAGGTGGCCATTCTGGCTGATTGAAAAGTAGCCCGAGCCCCATCCCTGAATGTTGTAGAGCGCGTCCGACGCGTCTGGGGTCCAGGAGGGCTCGCATGGTGGCGGCTGGGGCGCCCGAGGTGTGGGGTCGTTGAAGGCGCCAGAGTAGCGCCTGGCCTTCTGGGGGTGCTCCTCTGGGTTGCTAGCGTCGCTGTCTACCGAGAGTATGGAGGCGCAGAGGGAGGAGTGCTCATCACCACAGTCCTCCAGGTGCAGCTGGTCAAGGTGGGTGTCCACACAGCCGTCCATACCGAGGGCGGAGCCCTGGCGGAGTGGTTGGCAGCGGGAGGGACCAATAGGAGAATGCGGCGGTGGCTGCGGAGCGTGGCTATAGCCGCGTTTCCCCGCCATGTCACCCGCCGCCGCGGTGGGTGCCCAGCATGTTGACATCAGCGCCTGCTGCAGAATCGTGGCCAAGTGCTGCTTGAAGCTTTGGTGGCGTTGTTAGCTGCTGCTCAGCAGGGCTGGTGCAAGCAGCCCGTCGCGGGTGCCAGCGAGCCGGCGTGCCGAAAAGTGGGCCAAGTTCCGCCGCCACCAGCCGTCGCCCCACCCTATAGCCGGCAATTTGGATGGACAATCCAGGGTCATTCCATGCGGGCATGGCGTTATCATATTGCTATTGTGCTCAATTTCATTAATACTGGTGGCAGCCGCCCCATGGGAGGCGAGGTTTTGTAGCTCCTGCCTGCGGATCGCAGTGTGGTGGTGAACACGTGCCGTCACGAAGACCCAGCCCATGTTTCTGAAGGCATGCCCTTTGCACCGCCTGGTGTCAATGTCCATGCTACGCGGCATTGAGGGATGATCAGTGCAATCTGTCCTGGGCGGATCCGTTTGCGTCCACCACGCTGTGCTGAGCCGCCACCCGCCGTGTGCCGCCAAGCCTCCAAGGTCATGCCCAACCATGCCCCTTTTCCCCCCGATCACGACCTCACCTCACTTCTTCCACTACATCCATCACAATGGCGCGCAAGTTCTTCGTGGGTGAGTCTGCAAACCACTGGCTTTGGGGATGCCGCATGCCCGCCGACCCTGAGCCGTTGTGCTCCCGGCTGCGTTCCTTGCACATCGTAGCGCTTTCTGAGCTGAAAATTGGGGCGAAAGGCGGCGAGTAAGGGCTTTCTCGTGCGTGCCCTGCCCTGCAGGCGGCAACTGGAAGTGTGTAAGTATCTCGGATGGAGTGTCTAGGGCTTACAATGCCTGGATCTGGGTGCTGAGGGCTGCTTGTGCACAAGAGGTGATGCTTCGGCGATCGCACCACGACTGGGCCCCACACCCCTGCAGAACGGCACCGTGAAGAGCAATGAGGAGCTGGTCAAGGTGCTGAACGCCGCCGAGGTGCCCGGCACGGATGTCGTGGGTGAGCCCTCCCCCGCCGCCGCCCAAGCGCCGCAGAGCGACTGTGTGCCCTAGCTGGCCACCCTAGCAGCTGTGCACTGTGCAGCTCATGCAGGCAGCACCATGCGCGAGGCCGAGAGCCGACGCAGCGGGGATGCACGGCAGCAAACCTGCAGCTGGCTGCCCTCAGCCGCTGCGGCCCGTCCCGACGCCTGCCGCCCGCCGCCCGCCCCGCCCTACCCTGCAGAGGTGGTGGTGGCCCCCGCCGCCGGGCACTTCCCGCAGGTGCTTTCCTCCCTGCGCAAGGACTTCTCCGTGGCGGCGCAGAACTGCTGGGTGAAGAAGGGCGGCGCTTTCACCGGAGAGCTCAGGTGGGACACGGGTTGGGGAGGGCAGGCTGTTGGGAGTGGGGGAGGGGCAGGGAGGGAGCGCCGCACGGGCTGGCTGGCTGGCTGCCCTACTGCTGGGCACCCCTGCCTGCAGCGCTGCAGAGCACCCCGCTTGCAGCGTTTGTTGGGCTAGCTTGGTGTATCTGCTGACGGGCTTGGCCACCGCGCGGCGCCTGCCGCGCCGCCACCGCTGCCGCCTGCAGCGCGGAGATGCTCAAGGATCTGGGCCTGCCGTGGGTGGTGCTGGGCCACAGCGAGCGGCGCCACATCATCGGCGAGAGCGACGAGGTCAGGGGCGGGGCGGCCTGCACCGCAGCACGCTCTGATGATGCACGTCACGGGAGCCTGGCTGGGCAGCCGGGGAGCGGCCCATGCGCCTGCCTTTCCACCTCGCCGTCCTTCGTGCCTTCCTCCTCGTCCCGCCTGCCCGCCCAGCCCGCCAGCCCAGCCCCACCAGCCAGGCAGCCCTGGCCAGCCCGCCGCCGCCACCTTCTGTCCCCCCCAACGCCTGCCCTGCAGTTCATCGCCGACAAGGTGGCGTACGCGCTGGGCCAGGGGCTGGGCGTGATCTACTGCATCGGCGAGAAGCTGGAGGAGCGGGAGGCGGGCAACACGATGGCGGTGAACGCGCGCCAGATGCAGGTGGGGGGACCCTGCTTTCTTCCTCTGGAGCTGCTGGCCTGCTGGAGCTGGCTGGCGTGGGGCACGGCGGCGGCGCCTGGGGCCAGAGCTGGAGGGCTGGGGCTCGAGCGCGCCGGCGCGGTTCCCGGCCGGGGCTTTGAACAAGCCGTGTTGGCCATCCAGGGCTGCTCCCAGCGGACTGTGCTTGGCTGTGCCGCCTCACCCTTGCGCCGCCTCCCCAATGTGCCCTCCCCTGCCGCAGGCCCTGGCCGACAAGATCTCCGACTGGTCCAAGGTGGTGGTCGCCTACGAGCCTGTATGGGCCATCGGCACCGGCAAGGTGGCCTCCCCCGCGCAGGTGGGTCCGCCTGCTCCGCTGCTGGAGCGGCTGCTGAGCGGCTGCTGGTGCACGAGCGGCGGCCGGTCCACGAGCGGAGGGGGATGGGCGCGGGAGGGCGCGGGGCTTGCGAGGCTCCCGCCGCGGGGCCCGGCCGCCGTGTGGCTGGCTCTCTCTGCGGCTCGGCACCGCCAGCCACCTGCGCCCGGTTTGGGATGCGCCGCCCGCGGCGCACTCGTGCCGCCACCGACCTCCCCCTGCGTGGCTCCCCTGCGCAACAACCTGCCTGGCTTCCCTGCAGGCCCAGGAGGTCCATGATGAGCTGCGCAAGTGGCTGTCTGCCAACGTGAGCCCCGAGGTGGCAGAGGCGACCCGCATCATCTACGGCGGCTCGGGTGAGGCGGCAGCCGGGAGGCGCTGCAGCGTGGGGCAGGCTGGCGCCTGGCCGGACCCAGCGGCAGCGGCAGCAGAGGGGGCTGGCAGCGGCGGCGCGGCGGAATGGGGCCGGCGGCACCGGTGGGGCTGGCTGTAGCGGGAGTTGGGAGGGCACGCCGCGCTCATGCGGCCTGCCTGCCACCAGGGTCGCCGTGCCTGAGCCAGCCCTGCCTCTGTCCCGGGCCCTGCCCCTTTTGTCCCCGTTCACCCTCTCCCCTCTCGATGCCGCAGTGACCGCCGCCAACTGCGGCGAGCTGGCTGGCTGCCCCGACATTGATGGCTTCCTGGTGAGGGGCAGGACGGGAGGAGGAAGTGTGCATGCCGGGAGGGCAGGTCGCCGGGGCGCCGCTGTACTAGCACAGCCGCATGCGGCTCCTGGTGCGGCCTTCCCTGCTATGTGCCGACCCTGCTGCCTTCTGCCTGTTCCGACCGCAGGTGGGCGGCGCCTCCCTCAAGCCTGAGTTTGTGGATATCATCAAGGCCGCCGAGAAGTCCAAGTGAGCTGAGCTGCTCAAGCGGGGAGCTGCGTCCTGCTGGGCCAGATGAATGAACACATCCAGGCCGCATGCGAATCGCGGCGGCAGCTTTAAGTGCTGAGAACGGCTGCGAGCTGTCGACGCCATCCGTGCCCGCCAGCATTTTGATAGGATTGCAAGCATTGCATATTGGCATGCGCTGCGGTTGTAACGCACAACCAAGAGATGAGGCAGGGAGAGAGTCAGCAGCACGGGGCGACCGTGAAGCTGGGGGTGCATGTGGCAGGAAGCTCCCGCCAAGGTCCTGGCCAGACCTCTGAAGCCCAGGCGCGCCTGGCGCTCAGGGAGGCTGCCCATTCCACAGCCCCACACACATCAGCAGCCTCTGGACAGTTTTGGGGACACAGAGCTGGTGGGGTAGCCACCCCGAAGCCAGGTTACAGGTGTCAAGCCATTTGGCCTCGGCTCCGCCCCGTGGCCAACTCTGTGCTTCCTGCAGCAGCACTCTTATTTTCGAACTCGACCTGCCCAAGCCTGAGCCCTCCCGCAGACCGCACACGCAGGTGGGGAGGGCAACCTTGGGACCCAAGGCTGGGCCACACCCCCCCCTGAGCCCAGCACATTCTGGCATTGCCTGCGGTCGCTATAGCCTGCAGCGGGGCCGCGACTCACAGACAGGCAACCAGCCGTGGCAACGGGGGCCGCCCGCCGCGGCTGCCCCGCTGCGCAGATTCTGTCCCCAACAGCCAACGCTGCACCTGCTCCCCTCCGTGTGCCTCCTCCACTTCCCGCGCGAGGCCCACAGCCCACCCCCGGCAGCAGCGACCTTCGTGCCTGAAGCGGCGGCGCTCCAGCAGCGGCGGCCATGGCAGGCGGCGTCCCCGTGCTGACCCGCGCCTCGGCGCTCAACATTGCCGAATATGAGGGCAAGCTGACGTGGTGAGAACGAGTGTTATGATCGTGCTGCGGCTGGGCATATTGAGCAGGGCTTGGGGCTGCGCTGAGTTGCAGAAGCCAGCAGCCACACGGCCGTGCTCGCCAGCATCCGCCAGGCCTTCTCCGCACCGGCAGCAGCCAGCCGGGGCTACACCCAGCGCTCCCCTGGGGTGCTTCCCGACTCCTGCTACCCCTTTGTGTGCCCCGCCCCACATGACCCGCATGCAGGTATGTCATCATCGTGGCGCTCATCGCCTCGGCAGGTGAGGCAGCCTGCCCCCACACCTTGGGGCCAGGGTTCGGCATGCGCGCAACAACCCCCGCCTGCCCAGCGCGCTCCAGCTCCAAGTTCGAGTGCATGGCACGCCAGCACCCCTTTCTTATCGTTAAAGCACTTGGGCAGCTCCACACGTTTCACCAGAAATCAGCGCTTGGGCGACGAGAAGCAGGCCTCGGCTTGCCCCTTCTTGCAAGAGATGCCAGCCTCCGCGTCCCCACCGCCGCCAGCACCGAAAGCCAGCCCAACCTCCCTGCCTCTGCCCAGCCGAAGCCTGCCACCGCTCCCATGCCCAGCAGAAGCCTGCCTCCGCTGCCTCCTGCCTGCCTGCCTGCCTGCCCCTTGCAGGCGGCCTGCTGTTTGGGTACGACATCGGCATCACGGGCGGCGTGGAGGCCTTTGAGGAGTTCCAGCAGAAGGTGGGTGTGTGGGCGGTACAGGCAGTACAAGTTTAGAGGCAGGCTTCGCCTGAGGCAGTACCAGCCAGCAGTACTGTCACTTGGGCAGGAAAGAAGTGGTACTGGGGGGCGGTTGGGGAGGTTGGCGGCGTCCGGGGCGTTACAAGGCGTTTGGCTGGTGGAGAGATGTATGCGGGCTGGGCTCTATGCATTGCTGCGCGGCACAGCATGCGCCCTGGGCCCCCTGCCCTGGATTCTGGCTGATCGCCACGGCTGTGCTGTCCCTCCCCAGCTCCCCGCTGCTTCCTTGCTGGCTCAGCCGCCCTCCCTGCTGCCCTGCCCTGCGCCCCGCAGTTCTTCCCTGATGTGTACAACGCCAAGCACGGCCCCGAGGCTCAGGCCAGCACAGACCCCTACTGGTGACCCGCCCGCCCGCAGGCCCGCCAGCTGCGCTGCGCGCTCCTGCGCTGCTCCCGGCTGTGCTGCCGGCGTGCTTGCCAGCGCAGCACAGAGCACTGTAACTCGAGTCGAGTCGCGTGCGGGGCGCTGCCAGCCGGCCCCACCTGTCCCACGGCCCCTCCCCGCCTGCCGCACCGCAGCACCTACAACGACCAGAAGCTGCAGGTGTTCACATCCTCCCTCTTCCTGGCCGGTCTCGTGTCCTCCCTCTTCGCCGGCCACATCACGCGCCACTTTGGGCGCAAGGTGGGGCGCGGGGTGGGTGCCTGCAGGTCACCGCCGATGCGGAACAATGCCCGGCAGCAGGGGGGTCTGCCGGCCGACTGGCTTGCCTTCCGCATGCGCCGTCTCGCAACCGAGCAAGCACACTTCCCCACATGTCCCGGCGCGCCCCACCCTTCCAATTCCCCCTGCCCGAGGTCTGCGCACGCGGCCTATCATAGCGGGGTGACTGTGACGCATTCCTGCAGATCACAATGATCATTGCGGCCCTCTGGTTCCTGGCCGGCGCCGGCCTCAACGCCGGCGCCCAGGAGCTGTGGATGCTTGTCTTGGGTGAGCGGCAGCTGCCGACCTGGCCTGCGCTGAGCTGGCGACGCCAGCAGCTTATCCACTGACACGGTGGTGCATGCGGAGCCCAGCTGGCTCCACTTGTCAGGCTACCGCGCCCGGCAGAAGCTGGGCTCGCCGGCGGAGGCTGGGCCTACCCAGCGCTTTACCGCTCATCCGCCCGTGCATGCACGCAGTGCCCACCTGCCCCTCCCCCTCCCGCCCTGCAGGCCGCGTCTTCCTGGGCTTTGGCGTGGGCATGGCCAACCAGGTTGTACCGCTGTACCTCTCCGAGATGGCACCCTTCAAGTACAGGTGCGGTACAGGGCCGCAGTACAGCTCACCATGCAGCTACGGGCAGGCGCAAGTGTGGCAGGCTGCTGCATGCACTGGCGTGATTCCCATGTCCTCTTCAGCTCCTCCAAACCTCCTCCTGCGCCTGCCTCCGAACTCCTTGCGCAGGGGTGGCCTCAACATGCTCTTCCAGCTGGCAGTCACCATTGGTATCATGTGAGTGGCCTGCAGCTGCGGGCAGGACTGCTCATCTTGCCTTGCCGCAGGCTCTCCACTGCTCGCAGGCTCCGCTGCTGTGACCCTTTCCCTGCCTGCCTACCTGCCCTGCCTGCCTGCCCGCCTGCCCTGCCTGCAGCGTGGCCCAGCTCATCAACTACGGAGTGCAGGACTGGTCCCACGGCTGGCGCCTGTCGCTGGGCCTGGCCGCCGTGCCCGCCTTTGTGCTGCTGCTGGGCGGCATCCTGCTGCCCGAGTCGCCCAACTCCCTCATTGAGCGGTGGGTGGGTGGGCTGCGGGGCTGCCCAGGGCCCGGCGGGCTTCCGTTGAGGGACACAGCTGCTTGTGGTGCTACAAGACAGAAGTCCGCCCTGCTGACTGCCACGGCCTGCGCCCCCATCCCCGGCCCGCTGCCTGCAGAGGCCACCTGGACCGCGGTCGCCACGTGCTGGAGCGGCTGCGCGGCACCACCAACGTGCACGCAGGTGGGATGGGAGGGGGGCACGGCGGGGAGTCGAGCGGGCACCACCCGTCAGCGGCTCGAGCTCCAGCATGAGCACATGCTGAGCCCGCCTGGCTAGTGCTGCTTGTTCGGGCGCACGCGGCTGCAGCCACCTGATCCCCTTTTGTTGCCTGCCACTCCTGTGTGACCGCCCCCTCTTTCCTACCTGTCGCCCGACTTTTCCACGCAGAGTACAACGACATCAAAGAGGCCTCTGACACGGCGGGCCAAATCAAGCTGCGCGACGTGAGCGCTGCCACGCCGCCTCCCGCAGCCTGGGCCGCCTGCCATGGCCTGCCTGCCCGTCTGTCCACCCAGCAGGCCTTGCCCTTCGAAACACTGCTGTCCTTGATCCGACCCCTCCCTGTGCCCCGCCTGATGGTCTCTCCTTCTCTCTTCTTGCTGCAGAGCTGGAAGGCCATGTTCACCCGCCCATACTCTCCGATGCTGGTGAGGGCTGGCCAGCCGCTGGTGGCCTGGGCTGAATGGTGTAAGGCAGTGAAAGGGTGCCTGCCCGTCTCCCCGGGTGCCATACCGTAGATGGATCACTTCCCTACACCTCTCTCTAGCATTTACAGCCAGAGCTGCATTGACAGATGCACGAAAGCTTAGCTATGCTGTGCTATGCTATGCTATGGTTCAGCAGTTGATGCAGCAGTGGCTGATAGTAATGAAAGAGAGGTGTTGGGAAGTAGTCCCTCTACACATTCAGCGGGACGCGTGTGCACCGCTGCGCTGCCTGCTGGAGTTGTTGCGCAAGCTGACCTCCCTCCCTTGTACGCTGCCCCACTCCTCCTGCCCCTCCCAGGTGGTCACCTGCATGATTGCCATGCTCCAGCAGTGGACGGGCATCAACGCGGTGGGTTGGCAGATGCAGCACCCCACACATAGCCAGCATCACGGCGCCACCTGCCACCGCCCTACTTCTGTGGGGCACGGGCACCTGCTTGTCCGGCCGCCTGCTTGTCCCCCCACCTGCTGTTCCGCGCCCCACACCGCCTCGCCGCGTTCTTTCCTCCTCCTGGACCCCCACAGATCATGTTCTACGTGCCCGTCATCTTCAACTCCCTGGGATCCTCCAAAAAGTCCTCCCTCCTCAACACCGTCATCATCGGTGAGCGCACGAGCGCGGGCCCCTGACAGCGCCTGGTGCTCCAGATCCGGCGGATCTGCAGATGCCACACGGTTCGAGGGGGCTGGCGCGCCGGCTGGCTGTGCCGCGTGCGGCGCTGCTTGCCAGCAGATGGAGGGGTCATGCGCTAGCTGGCATCGGCTGCAGCCGCCTGCCGTGCATCGTCACCCCCCCGACACACACACACACTCGCATCACCATTGTCACCTCCGAACCCTGCCCGCAGGTGCTGTCAACGTGGTGAGCACCTTCGTCAGCATCCTGTCGGGTGAGTGGGCTGCGCGGCCTTTGGCTGGTTGGCATAGGAGTGAACAAGCGGCGCAGGCACAAGACGGCATTCTGAGAGCTGCTCCGCATATTGTGGCTAACACGCGTCCCGCCACTGTCGAGCTGTGCTCCCGTTTTGCCGCCCTGGATCGCCAAACCCTCTCTGCCTCGGCCCTACCAGGCCAAATTCCATCCAGTGTCGGCCTGGTGTGGCCCGGCAGCAAGCCTGCTGCCCACTGCTGCCCCTGCTCCTGTAGCAACCACGTGAGCTAAGCAAGGCGTCTGCCGCCATGCTCCCGCCCCTGCCCGCAATCCCACCTGCAGTGGACAAGTTTGGCCGCCGCTTCCTGTTCATCGAGGGAGGCGTGCAGATGGCTTCGGCGCAGGTGCGGGCACACCCACAGGGGGGGCTGGCAGGGCGGGCGGCTCGTCGCGGTTGTTGCATGCACCGGCGGCAGCATCAGACCGGCGCGGAACGTGCACGCTTGGCATCCGTCTCACGTCGCCTGCCCCCTCCCTGCGCCCCCATCTTTTTTCCCCTCCCCTCGTCCTCCTACCGCTCCTCCCAACGATCCTCATCCGCCCCGCCCCGGCCCCCGCAGATCGTGACGGGCGTGGTGCTGGCCAAGGAGTTTGGAGCGGACAACAAGCTGCCTCACGGCACCGCCATCGGCGTGCTGGTCGTCATCTGCGTGTTTGTGGCCGGCTTCGCCTGGTCCTGGGGCCCCCTGGGCTGGCTGGTGCCCTCTGAGATCCAGACCCTGGAGACGCGCGCTGCGGGTGCGGCGTGCCCGCTGAGCTGAGGTGGCAGGCTGGGCTGGCGGGCGTTTGTGCTGCCACCACTTTGGGGGTCGGAGGGCTTCTCGCTTCCGGCGGCCAAACCCCGCTATGGCCTGTGCTGCGCCGTTCTTCCTGCCTGCAGGCATGAGTGCGGCTGTGACCATCAACTTCCTGTTCAGGTACTGCTACATGGTACTGCACAATGCTTGCGCGTCCCCTTCCAATCTGTACCGGCATGCATTGAACTGTTCACTCACCCCGTCGCACACCCGCCTCCCCTGCCCGCCGTGCAGCTTCGTGGTCGGCCAGGCTTTCCTCACCATGGTGCGTCCCATAGCTGCAGCTGCTCACGGGAGCCACCCTTGTAGGCCCCCTGCTCTTGCCAGTCGTGCTGCCCGCTCCAGCGAGCACTTCTGGTGCTACTGGTGCGTGCCTCTCCCTATGCTTGTCTGCCTGCCTTCCCATGCTACCATCTGCAGCTGTGCAGCATGCGCTGGGGCGTCTTCATCTTCTTGTGAGTGTGGAGTGCAGGAGTAGGAGGGACCTCAGCTGGCTTGCTGAGGCGCAGAGACAATGGACGAGTGTCCAACCCAGCGTGCTTGACGCACAGTTTCACCCACTCATTACCCTCCTCTGCCCCCCTGCCTCCTGCAGCGCCGCCTGGGTGGTGCTCATGACTTTCTTCATTTGGTGAGAGAGCCCCGCCAATCCCTCCTTAACCCGCCTGCAGCATCTGCCTGCCAGTGCCAGAGAACAAGGTCATGCTGATGGCCGGCTGCCGTCGCCAGCCCGCCGCCCCTACCCACCCGCTGCCCTGCCTGCCTACCCCCACCCCACCTGCCTGCCTGCCTGCCTCCCTGCAGGTTCTTCCTTCCTGAGACCAAGGGGGTGCCTGTGGAGCGCATCCAGGTCAAGTTTGCCAAGCACTGGTTCTGGTCCAAATGGATGGGCCCCGCGGCGCAGGACGTGAGTCGGGCTGTGCAGACAGAGGGGTGCCCTGCTGGGTGGGCCTCCAGGGCATTGGGTGGTGCCAGATGCAGGCTTTGTGTGGCTTTGCGGATGCTGGGCGCCAGACGGCTGGGCTGTCTGGCGGCACGGTCCCCGGCCTTCACGCACACCTGCGACAGTCGCTTGGCAGGTTACCCATGTCCACTGCCTGTGCCAAGCTCCCCTCCCGCCCCACTCCTACACAGGTCATCAACCGCGACGAGACGCGCACCGCCACCCGCAAGGCCGGCCAGATGGAGGGTGCGGCCCCCTACCCGGCTGCGCCCGCTGGCGACATGCCTCCCAGGACCGTCACCGCCGACGTGGCGTGAGCTAATATGAGCTCACACGTGTGTTGGTGGGAGCGCAGCTGCACTTTGCAGCGGTGCTCGCCCCTGCCGACTTGCTCTTGCAACGGAGCTTCAACCCAATGCCTCACTTTTCCGTTTTCTGGAGGGCCGCTGACTGCAATGGTAGTGTAGCCCGCATTGGCTTTGCTGTCGAGGGCAACGGCTAATCGCCCGAGTGAGCACATGTTGCCCCCTGATGTGGCACCCTCCCGATTGGGCAACCCCCGCCCCCGCTCGCTCCTGGCAGCCCGCGCGGCGCTCCCCTCCCATACGTGAACTGACCCCATAGAGCCATGTTTGAGGGTTGAGCGGGGCGGAGCGGGGCTGCTTGCACACGTGATGGCATGCACGCTTCAACGCTCCCGCTGTCATCTCACCTCTCTAGCGTCAGAAATACAACTCTTACAAGCCAACCAACACGAACAGAGAGACCGAACAACAGAAATGAACAGGAAATATGAAGCCGCCACAGGCGGCAGCACCTTTCAGCGGAGACAGCAAAGCGTACAAGGCACACTTCTTCAATGGTTCTTGCAATTGCCACCCTTACCGGTTATACAGCCACAGTGCCGCCCACACCGCGCACCATTCTTCTTGCAGCTGCAGTTCCGGGTGCAGGCGCCGCGGCAGCCGCAGCGCACGGCTGCCTTGCCGCCGCCGGGCTGCGCCGCCATCGCCACATTGAGAGACACCACAGGCACTCCTCGCTGCGCCGTGCCGCTGAAGGTCAGCTCGCTGGCCAGGCTGGGTGGCGCCTTAGATAGCCTGCTGGCCTGATGCATACCCTCCACCACTCCAGCTCCGCTCCGCAGCCGGTACATGGTCACGCCAAAGGGCCGCTTGATCTCCACCACGCGGCACACGATGCGGTTGCGGCCCAGCTGCTTGCCCACTTTGCCGCGCTTCGGCGGCAGCAGCAGCACGTCATCGCC